TGCTCTGTCCTCAAATCCTACTCGCAAATAGCATCTGGGCCTCTCTCCATTTCTACTATAACATCACTGTTTAAGCAAACAGTATTTACCTTTCCCTATCCCAGGCATGTACGGTAAAAACCAGCAGTACACTTTCTCATCCTTTCCGTTCTTCAACGCTCCTCTCTCCTTCTAAATGTACGCTACTAAGTAAGTCGGCAAAGAATCTACGCCATTTAGTCCTTCTATCCACCTATCCCTCCTCCCCTCTCATACCAACCCCACTTCTACCTGCCACATTCGAAATGCCGCCATTCGCATGGTGCAGCCTTACCTGCTATCGGGAGAAAAAATTTTTTGCAGCCCGTGTATGAGACGAGCCGAGCCGAGTTATTGTAATTGCCCAAAAAATCACCTCTGGATCGCTGCATGGTTGTGTGAGCCAGCAAACTGATTGGCTTTGTGACTGGGTCGGCGCACGAGTTTCATGGGAGAGTAAGTAGTTACAGGGCGGGGGGTTAGCTCACGGTCTTCGGGGTTTTCGCACAAATATCCTGGTCCATTTGAGAATTCCGTAGAAACCGTTTTGAGCCAGTTAGCAGTGAATTTTAGGGTTGTGTCCCATGAGACATTGAAGTAATTTGCGAAGGCGCATGCGCTCGGTCAAGACGCCTTTCCGGTGCTTTTCCAGTCCTGTACATCATCGTTCCTGGTAGGACTGTGTACGATTTGGCAAGCGGATTACTCAGACATCCATGCACATCTGAATACCGGTTGATCTAAAGATCAGTGGCGAGCAGCTGAATCATTTGCGCTTCGCGGATGACATAGTTCTTGTTGCCAACAACTCTTATGAAACAAAGGTGCCTGGGTGGCTGTAAGCTGAGACTGGAAGTGGTGGGGAGAAATGGCTGGGGATTTCTGCACCTTGCTTCGTGTTCTTTGTTTTCGAGCCTTCTTCACTGTTGACATTCGATGACGATGCATGACTAATCTGCAAAAAGAGAGTCTTAATCATTGGGTGCTGAAGTGCCCCATTCAGCGGTACTGTGGCATAAGGTAGAATGGCAGCCCACACGAGATGCCGGGGGTATTTTTTGTTGTAGTTATGCTGTACTTCCGTGAATGTTCCGCGGGAAACTGGAGGGAACGTCGAAAGTGAGCAGTACAGCCTTGTTAAACATTTTTTTTGCAGTTAGCTTTTGGTAGATGCCACATTTTGTGGATACTTCTTTCATATTTATATCTGG